TGTCGACAAGTATACAAGTATACACATGCTTGCAAGCTTGAGCAAACCTAGAGAGGCACACGAAAAAGATGCACGGATGACGGGCAGAGTACTTGACGGGCTTAATCGCCTGTCATTGTTAATCTGTTGGCAAGCACACGACTTGTCTCCGCACTTAAAGGAGGCCATCAAACGCCCATAAACAGGCTGTCAGCATTAACTGAGGTCTTGCAGGTTGGCATTCAAGCCGGCCTCCATTTAGCCGCCCAGGATCGTTCGGACAAGCCGATTAAGCCGTGCTGGATTGGATGGACCTGGCCACTCTGATGCAGACGCAGTGTCGTAGTGTCAGTGTGTGCCACTGCACGTATCGTCGAGTAGTTTTCAGCTGTCCGACGCGACATCTTCAACAGAAGTACGGAGCAAATGGAGGTTTCTGGGGAGGCAGAAGGAAACAGCCGGGTGATTAGCCGTTTGCTGGTGCCATCAGTCTCTTCAGTTGGCCCGTCGGTGGCAGCAAGCACGGCAACTTGGCCCTTGGTTGGAATCGCTCGGGCGCAGGGATGTGTCTGGTGCGACTGTCGTCGTCGCCGCGACGTGCGTGCCGTGTATCGACAAGATAGAGTCTCGGCGGTGTGCGTCGTGAGGAGAGCAACTGCTCAACTTCTTCTTCGGTCGAATCTCGCTTTCTGATGGCCGGTTATCGTCAAATCTTTTTCGGTCGGAGGTCAGCAAAACGACGCCGGGGGAGATTTCTGCGTGGTGATGACGCTTAAACAAGAACGACTAGGATTCAGATCACTCAACGGTATCTTTTTTCTTTTGCGAATGAAGCTCTTGATTTATATTAAAAACCTTCAACAATGCAAGACATGTCAGAAAACACAAGGAAATCAAAACCATGTTTTCAGAGAGGCAAACAATGGGCGGGGCAACATCACCCAGAATCCCCGATACCCAAGGGCCAGTCTTCCGTCGTTGAAGCTGTTGGTTGCCCGCAAGACCACCAGTCCACCACCACAAGTAGCAGGAAGAAGAACAACATTACGTGGTCCGCAACACGAAGACACACGAAGTGCACGCCCAGGACCAAAGGACCCGAGACAGCATAGACACTATTGTTTATGCTTTCCTCTATAGAAGTTTGTGAGCCCTGAAGAGCAAGGTTTTGCAGCATACGGTAAGTATTTTACTCTGTAGAAACCTATATATCAATCTGATGGTTCCCATGACTACATGCAATTATCACCCAATGCACACAATTAGAGAACTTCTTCTTAGTTTTTAACTTAGATAGTGAGATTGTCAGACTCACTAACCTTCCTAGTTATAATAATTAGCGAATAGTGTGGTTGGAGTTGATGATTGTAAGAAATTAAATAAAACGGTTCAGATTTTAAGAACAATAAAGGGTATGATTGAGGTTGTGATTATTCCTCCTATAAAAGGAGCTAGTCTACCGCCTTCCTGGATGATCTACCTCGCGTGGTGATTATTCATGGGCCTCGTTTGTCCACGAACTCGCCACGGCACGTAAGCTAGACACAGATGCAAAGAAGAAGGGATGGGGATGTCGTTTTAGCCTGTAGGGAACGACACGATCTCGAAGCACGGTGCTTCTGAGCGGAAGTTTTCTTCGTCTCGAAGATCACCGCCGCCTCGATTTGTCTGAGGGTTTGTGCCTTTCTGCCCAACACGAACCCGTGGAAGCAGGTAGATGACGGGTTCAGACGAGGACATGGAGATTCTCATCTTCGCCGATGTGTCGGGGAAGATCGTGTTAACCCCGCTGCCCCCGTCCATGAGAACCCGGGGGAGGTGATGCGTCTCCAACATATCTATAATTTATAAAGTATTCATGCCATGTTTACAACAATTTTATATGGTTTTGGTATGATTTGAATGGAAATAATCCGGACTGACGCTGTTTTCAGCAGAACTACTGTGGTGTTGTTTTTTGTGCAGAAATCAAAATTCTCCAAATGCAGCGATTTTTTTATGATTTTGTTGGAAGAAAAGAGGCACTAGAAACTTTGTGGGAGGGCCAGAAGAGCCACGAGGGCCCCACAAGACACCAGGGCGCGCCAGGGGGGTCTGGCTCGTCCTGATGGGTTGTGGTCACCTCGAGGCCCATCTTAGCGTGAGACACAGGCAAAAAATCCTATAAATACAGGAACCCCCAAAAATGACCCTAAATCAGAAGTTCGGCCGCTGCAAGCCTCTATAGCCACGAAAAACCAATCTAGACCCCGTTCCGGCACCCTGCCGAAGGGGAAATCGTCACTGGTGGCCATCTTCATCATTCCGGCGGCCACCACGATGAGGAGGGAGTAGTCCACCCTCGGGGCTGAGGGTTTGTACCAGTAGCTATGTGTTTAATCTCCCCTTTCTCTCTCTCTCTCTCTCTCGTGTTCTTAATTTGACATGATCTTAATGTATCATGAGCTTTGTTAATATAGTTGAATCATATGTTGTTTTCTCCTCTCTATCTTGTTGTGATGAATTGAGTTTCCCTTTAAAATTTTGTTCTTATCGGATTGAATACTTTATAGATTTGAGAACACTTAATGTATGTCTTATTATGAATACCCGTGGTGACAATGGGGTATCATATGTGTGTTTTGACACTCAACTCACGCATTCCCGAGGTGACATTGGGGCAATCTATGCATAGGGTTGATGCACGTTCTCGTCCTTGTTTCTCCGGTAGAAATCTTGGGGCATTCTTTGAGATTCTTTGTGTTGGTTGAGTATTATGAATCTAAAATTGTTTGAAGCATACGGTATAATCAACTCACGGATAATCGCGGTGACATTGGAGTATCTAATGACATTAGAGTTGGTTGATGTGTATCATATGGTGTTATTTTAGTACGAACTCTTAAATAGATTGACCGGAAAGGATAACTTGGTGTTATTTTAGTACGAACTCTTGGATCAAAAATGATAACTTTGAGGTGTTTTCGTACCCTACAAACAATTTCTTCTTATTTTCTGCGCTAGATAAAAACTTTGGGGTGATTCTTCATGGTACGTTGAGGGTGGTTATATGATTCAATTATATTAGCATTGTTGAGAGATTGCACTAGCAAAAGTACAGACCCTATGCCTCATTTTCAAGCATTGCAATACTGTTTGTGCTCCGTTTTGTTAATTGCTACCTTGCTGTTTTTATTGCTCCTATTACAAAAATCAATATCTACTATCATTACTACACTTGTACTACCATCTCTTCGCCAAACTAGTCCACCTATACAATTTAATATTGTATTTGTTGTGTTGGCGACACATGAGACTTTTTGTTATTTGGTTGCAAGGTTGTTTGAGAGTGACCATCTTCATCATACGCCTCCCACGGATTAATAAAACTTAGTTCATCCACTTGAGGGGAATTTGCTAGTGTCCTACAAAACTTTGCGCGTGGAGGCCCAACATGAGTTTACAAGAACAAGTTGTGTAGTAGACATCAGGAGGCGGAAGCAGTCGACGATCAAATCTACAATCGGGGTGAAGTTCCCTAGATGAGAGACATGGGTCGGGTGGTCGGTGCGCTCGAATATGATGGAGTCGAACCAATCCAAGAATTCCATAGACTCGGGCGCAGTCGCATAGACCGCATGACGCGTGAGATTCTGGGCCTGAGTATGGCATAATATATGAAGTCATGCTTGGGTCCTTTGAATTATCTTGGCTTTATGGGATTTTTTGTCTTGGCATGAGTGCTTTGTTGATGATGAAGGCTCTTGTCGAGGAGAACCGCACCCTTGCTGCTCAGGTTGCTGCCCTGCAGAAGCAACTTGATGGCCAACATTAAGATGCCTAGGGATTGCAACATGTTCGTGATGGCGCCATTTGTAACTGTTATCCTAATTCTTGCACTTTTATGCATGTCTCAGGTAATTGGGGTTCTTGTTCCTAAATCTGTTGTCCTTTCCTTATAGCCCCCAAGCAGGCCAACGCAATTCATCATGACCTGGATGAGGCCACAAAGCCGCCCACAGAAGCGGAGGAGGCCATGCGCATTACCAAGGGCGAGCTGGGTAGCTTGGTGGTTGCAAAGCATGAGCTCGAGACCTTCCTGCTAAAGGATTAGGAGGAATGTCTCACCCTTTGCGGCAAACTATAAGGGAGCAAAGAGCGGCAAAGTGTCCTTGGTAACGAGCTCCAGACTCTGAAGAAGAAGCTCGATCAGCAGACCTCCTTGCTCGGGAGCACAAAGGGAAGGTCTGCTGCCTCCAGAAGGCGAATAATGATGTGTCCTTGCAGCTGAGTGGGGCGCGGTAGTACTACCGGGAGAAGGAGCATGATGTGTCCTTTTCATCCCTCCTAGCAGGCGCATGACGCTATGCGGAACATGTTGTCGGATTTTTTTAGCAGTAGCAATGTAGCATACACAAATGGATCAGGAGAAACCCGAGACCTCATTTACAACGCCTTTGGCACCCATTAGCGTCTTAGCCGTCACGCATGTGGCTACTTGGTCTTGACCTTTGTCTTTGACAATTCATCGTTAATTATTGATTGTTTCCCCGTTTAAATAACCCACGATTTTCTTTAAAGGGAATCACGGATTTGAATAAAGATTATGAATTTGAGAAATGTTCATGAATTTGGAAAAATTTCACGAGATTCGAAAAAAATCATGAATTGGGAAAAAGTGCACAAATTTTTATAAAGTTCATGAATTTGAAAATAACTTCATGAATTTAAAAAAACCCATAAATTTGAATTGTTTTAAAAATATTCGAAGCATTTAGGAAGTTCCCGAATTTTTAAAAAATATTTGCGGATTTTTAAAATGTTCACAAATTGGGGGGAAAGTACCGATTTAGAAATTGCTTGCAAATTTGGAAAAAGTTCGTGGTTTGATAATGTTCACATAATTGATTTTTTTTTCTGTTTTACAAAAAATCCATGAGGAAATAAAATAAAAATTCATACAATTTAAAATTTTAAGAAGTAAACGAAAAACGAAAAAACCCAGACAAAAACCATCTAAAAAACCAGAGGAAAACCACCACATGGAAAACCAGTGGGAAAGCCTACATGCGCCGGCCCATATAGCAATATTTGGGTTGCAGTGGCGCGTGAAGCGTGAAACCCAACAACAATATTTGGGCTGCTTGGACGGGTACTCGTGTTCCGGCCAGACCCTAAAACACGTTAGACGAACACTGAGACCTGCCGCCGCCGCCGAAGCCACGCCGGCCGCCTCCATGAAAGGCCGCAGCAGCCACCGCGGGACCGCTCCCACCTCCGCCGCGGCCTCGACTTCCAGCAAGCGCGACCCCGAAGACGAGCCCGTCTCAGACTCCGAGGAATCGGTCGACGAGGAGGTAAAAGCCCAAGCCCTCGCGTTTTCCTTAACCGCCGCGCGGATCCGCGGAACCCTCACCGGCGGTGCGTTTGATCCGCAGCAGGATGTCTCCTCGTCGTTGGGGTCGGAGTCGGAGTCGGAGAACGACCAGTTAGCGGAGCGGGAGCGGAAGCTGGAGCGCGTGCTCGCCGACGTGCCCTTCGGCGAGCTGCAGCGCGCGCGTGCTGACGGGTCGCTCGCGGCGCGGGGTGTTTCTGCTGCCGCCGCGGCCCAGAAGAAGGCTCGCAGGGAGAGCAGGAAGAGGTCCGGTTCCACGCCGTGCCAGTTCCTGGTTAGGATTATTAGCCAATTTGGGGAATTGAATGAATGCTTGTGCTGATGTGTTCATGTGGTTTTCAACAGGCCCATGGAGATTAGCACGAATGTGCGGCCGCCTAGACTCAGGGAGGTGATTCAGGTTCCCAAGAAGGTCAGTTGCTTGTGACATTCAGTTCATATTTAGCGTGTTGCCGGGAGGGATAGAGTTTGATTCTATTGGATTGGTAGTATTTGGTATATTCGTAGTGCACAAGTATAGGATAAGAACACCCATAGTTCAATTAGAGCCTTTGTGAGTTCAGTCTGTCCATGTTATTGTCACATATTGACATTGGGCATGTCTTGCTGCTTCAGTTACATACGCTATTCTCCTCAATTAAATAGCTTGAGAATGCTGATTTAAGTTTCCGTGAATCGATTGACATTATGCGCAGCGAGGTTTACTTTTGTTCGACTTGACTTCTGTCCCAGTTTTGTTGTTTGACCCTCTGGTACATTGTTGGAAAATGGAATCATATTCCACAGGGTTCCTTCCCTGTTGCTTAATCCAACTAAATGTTCTTTAGATCAATAATAATAATAATCTAGACAAAAACTACTTTAAATCTGTCGTTAGGTATCTTAATCTATTTTCATTTTTTGTTGATTTGCTTGGGTTTTAAATCTAGTTTAACCATACTGAAAGTGATTCAATACGCAAACTTTCCCTATCATATTGAGCTTATCTTGAGGATGTTTATTTACACACTGCACTGTTGGGTGTAACTGTAGTATACCTTGATCTTTAGTGAGACAGTGACTGTACCATGTAATATATCTCGTTGTATTTACTGCATTACTTTTCTGTAGGTTGTAAGGGATCCAAGATTTGAACCTGTATATGGAGCTGTTGATAAAGAAGGGTAAGAGTTTAACATACTTGTATCATCCATTGCATGCCATTATTTGTCTTGTACCATTTCTAAACACATGATTGTGTGCCCTTTAGATAAACATGTTCTATTTTAATCCTGCCAAAATAAGGTGGGCAAACTTTCATTCATTTCCATTCTCATGTCTCTTAAATCCTCTATCGTTTCTCAATCTGCATTAAGTAGTTTAGATACCGTTTTTGACTGTACCGTGTTTGACAGTTTGTTCTAATTTGTTGGCATTCAGGTTCAGGAAAAGATACAATTTCTTATTCGATCATGATCTGCCTGCAGAAAAAGAGGTATTTTTATGCCTCTGCCTGTGCAATCCCATCTCATGGATCATTATTTTGAAAAAAATTAAATGTGTATCCTGCACTGTCTTAATGTGCCTCTCCAGAAACTCCAAAAGTCGATTAAGAAATTGAAGGATCCTAATGCCATTGAAGAAGCAAAGAATCAAATCACCTGGATTGTAAGTATTTTATACTTGCTCACAAGTTGACATTTTGTAATAGGTTTTGACATGTTTTGCTATTAATGTTATTTTGTTGTGCTTGGCGTTGAATCTTTCAAATATCTAGGCAGGTCATTCTGCTGAGTGCTATTATCATAAAAATATGTACAGAATTGTATTTGAACTTTTTAATATTTGACGACATTGAACTTCAGCCTCTTTGTGAAACATAACAGCAACTAAGTAGACATGGCACGCTATGTGCGTGATTTAGATTTATTTTTCAAGCTGTCACATGTCAACTATTTATATTTTATACACAAACTCACGAAGGATGAGCACATATCAAATTCGGACGTTTCCAGTCGGAGATGAGGCATGGGCATTGTATTATCAGAAATAGTATTACCTCCGTCCCAAATTAGTTGTCTTAGATTTGTCTAGATATGGATTTACCTAACACTAAAACATGTCTAGATACATCTGTATCTAGACAAATCTAAGACAACTAATTCGGGACAGAGGGAGTACAAAACTAGATGTATTTATCCAATAACACATGGTTGCTGCAATTTGATATTATGCTAGAGGGCATACAGTAGGAGATGCTTCTTTAATCTTATTTGACTGTTACACTTGTATTTTTTAGAACAAATATAAGTTGTTTGATGGTTTCAGAACTGGGTTCCTCGTATTGAGCAAGTTATCAGGTCTTTGTTGGTTGGTTGATGGAACATGTTCTTATTCTGCAGGATAAGCAGTTGAGGTCTAATCCTCAGAAGAACGTTGAATCAGAAATTCTGCGTGGACATATTAAGAAAGAGAGGGAAGCAGCAAAGGCCGGAAAACGACCATATTATCTGAAGAAATGTTTGTTCCCCACTCCCCTTCCCTCCTCTCTCACACGTCTATCTACATATCTAAAGATTTTTCTTTTGTTTCTTGACCAGCTGAAATTCGTGAAAGGAAGTTGATGGACAAGTACAATGAGCTCAAGGTAAGGTACCCAGGGTTCAATTGACTGCTAATTTTCCACACTTATGAGCATCCCTGGCCTTACACTTCAATTTACGCTGACCATTTACAGGAGACGGGAAAGCTTGATTCCTTTATGGAGAAGCGACGCAAGAAGAATGCATCCAAAGATCATCGCTTCATGCCATACCGAAGGGATGGGGGTGGTGCATAACAATGCCCCTACAGCCGCTTTTGGGGTGATTCTGGCTAGCCTATCCTCTGCTCACAGAGTTGTTGTAGCAGCGCTCTCTACTATCCTGTTGTTGCCCTAGTGTCCCAGATATTTATCAGCAACCGCGAGTTGAAGCTAACCCATGGACCATATATTTATTGTTGAGCTCTGGTTGCTGGCAGCAACAAGCAATTGTAAACCCAAACCATGGAGATAATATTTTGTTTCATCTACTGCTTCAATTGATGCCAGTCTTTCTGTGTAATCAAGGAGTAAAGTACACTTGCTTGTTGCAACTGAACAATATATTCCTTTTGTTAGTTTCCTTGATTGATGACATACAGCTGGAAGCACCAACTGTCAAACACTTTGGCAGTGATAATTGCCGCCACGACGCCCCGTTGCAGATTGCCCAACACATGGATACAGATAACTTTATCTATGGGAGAACTCAACTCATTTTATATCATGATGATATGCTGACTAGCAACAGTTGGCTGAACTCCCATTACCTTCTGATCATAATGAATCCGTCCGGCCAATATGGATCAAGCTGACGGACAATTGAGATGGATAACTAGAAGCTGCTTAATCATTCAGGCTAGCTACTGTGCTAGATTTGGTCTGGTTGGAAATGCGCTGCATAGATGGACGTTGCTATATCAGACTACCGGACGCATGCTCCATGGTAAGTACGGTGGCTGTTGTCTCTTATGACACTACTCCATCTGTTCATAAATATAATTCTTTTTAGAGATTTTAATATGGACTATATACAGATGTACATAAACGTAGTTTAGAGTGTAGATTCGCTCATTTTGCTCTGTATGTAGTCCATATTAAAATCTTTAAAAAGACTTGTACAATATTTAAGAACGGAGGGAGTAGATCCTATCCAGCATCTATGCATCCATGCCAAACCTGATTGCATTATTCAGAAAGCAACCCATTCACTAGAACGACACACAAAATTGATAGGTCAAAGTGATGATTTGCAGTTAGGAGTCTAGTAGGAGGTAAGAAGGAAAACATCCACCAAATTCCTTCTGTTTTCATGCATGTATAGAGGTAAGAAAAAAGGAGGGGTTCCTTCATTTTCCACGGGACCTAGTTGCGCGACGGCGACGTGTCCTGGATCCTCGCGGAAAGTTCCATGAACGCTTCAATCATCCACGTCGCTATCCTCTTTCATCGTTTGATGCAGTGCGTGTACCACGAGCTTAGTGCAGACGTTGATGGCTTTGGTCGGAGAGCGACATGGTTTCTTCAGTGTAGGTCACTTGAAGGCGAGGAAAGGCCAAAGTAAAAACACGATTGGTTGGATGGAACGTAACCACACCTGGTTCTGGTTGCTTGATAGCTTCTTCACGGGGCCGGCCAACAGAGGATCGTAAAGCTAACAATTCTATCGCCGTGACAGATAATAAGAATAAAAACCTCCCTCTTGGTGTCCCTTTGTTAGCTAGGCCGGGCATCTTTCAAATTAATATTGTGAAATTCTGCAATCCACAAACCACCCCAACCGACAGTCAGAATTTTTTTGAATATGCCCGTAAGTTTATTGGAGACTTGAGCAAAACTCAGATCGGAGAAGAATATGGTCCTGTCGATTTTGTTTCTGACGGAAGGCGTGGCACGATTGTGTGTCACGTGTACTTTCGGCGCCTTTCTTCTTTTTCTCGAGTCCCGTGTTAGGATCCTGGAAATAGAGGGAATGATGATAGCTCGAAAAGTGTTTGCTACGTTGAGTTGTGCAACGCTGGAAAGTTCGGCTCCATGTGACAGCTTGGTTTATCCAGGGAAAACAACAGTGAATCTACTCTTTAACTTAGCGAAATTCATATTTCTTGAGTTCTTAAAAATTGCGAGAAAAGGGATAGAAACACCATCCATCATAGTAAAGTGCAGGAAACAAAAAGGTACAATATAGCTACGATCTAATGGGCTCACAACATGATAAGACACAACGATAAATTGAAATAACATGTCACTAGGTGATCGCAAATAGCCTACACCTAAGGAATGGGTGGCTAACCTCAAGGCAACAACCAAATGTTGTAGTGTCCTAGGGTTCCAATGTGAGTTCTCACTCCATGTTATATACTCTGTTCACCCCTATTGGAGAGAATTGACCACATGGGCCAGGAGATGTTCGAATACTGAAGCCCAATTACTGTCCAACACTCCGCTTTAAGATGTGTGATAAATATCTACCGTTCCCATTTTGACACAAGCTCGATTGCAATCCTTGACAGCCAAACCCTTTGTTGGATAATCATCAACCTTTTGCCATGCACTCACATAGTTGACCTTGATGATTCTAGCATCCAACTTCTCTTTAATAAAAAAATTTATCGATCTCAATGTGCTTTGTCCTATCATGTTGGACTAGATTATTTGCTATGCAAATTGTTGACTTGTTATGACACCATAAGTTCAAGTGTCTTGCCTTTAACACCTCCAGCTCACTCAAAAAGTTTCTTACCCATAGCATCCCACTTAATCCTTAACACGTGGCTTTATACTCCCCTTCTGTAGTTGACCTTGATACTATTATTTTTTTCGCTTCTCCATGATACCAAGTTCCCTCCAACGAATACACAATAACATGAAGTTGACCTTCTATCATCCAAACAACTTGCCCAATCAACATCACTATAACTGTCAACTGTTAGATCCATTTGCTTTAAACCATAGCCCTTTTTTTTGGAGTTCCTTTTATATTTTTGCGATAAAATTTCAATATATTCATGTTCAATCAAGGCGGTACAAAGAATAACAGAGGTAATAAAAATTACAATCATGTTCGTGGACCACCTAGCGACGACTACAAGCACTAAAACGAGCCGAAGGCGCGCCCCATCATCGCCTCTCCCTCACTGGAACCGGGCAATCCTTATTGTAGTAGACAGTCGGGAAGTCATCGTAATAAGGCCCCATAGGACCAGTGCACCAGAGCAGCAGCCATCGCCGATGAAGAAAGTCGTAGATCAGAAGGGTCAAACCTATAAACACTCAAATGAAGACGAACGAAGACCAGATCCAAACAGATCCGCCGAAGGCCAGTACCGACGGAATCCCGCGAGATCCGACAGAGACACATCTCCACACGCCCTACGACGATGCTAGATGCACCATCGGGACGGGGATAGAACGTGAGAGACATTATCCCTACTAGGGACATCGCCACCGCCACACAACCCAACCAAGACGTTGAGTCTAACAAGAACGAGAACATCGTCCCTCCCGCCGGTGGTGGGCCAAGATCCTCTACACCTCCATGGCCGAGAGACCATCGGAAATGAGGCGGACCCGGTCAGCATCACTATTACTGACAACTGTTAGATCCATTTGCTTTAACCCATAGCCCTTTTTCTGGAGTTCCTTTTAAACATCTTAGGATTTGGGACATCATCCATATGTACACTTCTTGGTTCATGCATGTATATGCTTAGAGCATTACTAGTAGAGCCCTCAAACCCTCAAACCCCTAAAAACAACTGCTTTTTTACAGTTTTCGTCGAAAAAAAGCCGTAGACTAGAACCCCTTAACCCTCAAACCCTCAAATTTTTTTAAAGGTCCAACCCTCAAACCCTCTCCCAATCCTCAAAAGTAAGGGTTGGGGAGCAAAACCTACCCCAACCCTCATTTGGCGGTTATCCTCGCGCGGGAGGGAAAAATCCCCCCAACTCCCGCGCCCACGCCCTCGACCGCCGCTGCTAGTCGCCCCCGTCGCCTGCGGCCGCCCCGTCGACCTCCCGTCATGGGGAATATTCCGTTATAAGGGTTGGGTTTGAGGGTTCTAATCTTTGCCCCTGTTTTTCAACCCGTAAAAGTGCACAAAAAGATCATTTTTGGACCCTTAAAACGCTAGTGAGGGTTTGAGGGTTTGAGGGTTCTACTAGTAATGCTCTTACTATCCTAAATTGAGCTCTTATTTTGTGATCCTGGTCAATGGGTGTTGGAGCTGCATGGCATTCCATCATCCCATATCACTGAGGAGGTCTAAGTTATACTTGCGTTGTGATAGAACTATTCCCTTCTTTGATCTTTTCACCTCTATCCCAAGAAAGTATCTAAGTTGACCAATATTTTTTACTTCAAATGCTTTGCTTAAACAACTCTTAACCTTTGTTATTTCTACTGTATCATATCCTGTGATTATTATAGCATCCATGTAGACTGCTAGAATCGTGATCTTCTGATTTGAGTATCTATTGAATATAGTGTGGTCTCCACTACACTGGCCATATCCTATTTCACACACAGCTCTTCTAAATTTGTCAAACCAAGCTCTAGGGGGACTGTTTTAAGCCCCATGGATACAATATTTTGTTTCATCTACTGCTTTAATTTAATCAATGTCACTCTTTCAGTGTGACCAAGGAGTAAAGTACACTTGCTTGTTGCAACTGAACTGCCCATTTCCACAGTAATTAAGAAACGAGTGTCCTCATCTCATGTCTGTCTTAATTAGACTAACATCTCTTTTGTTCCTTTCGCTGCTGACATACAGCTGGAAGCACCAACTGTCAAACACTTGGCGATGGCCCTGATACTCGCCACCACGACACCCGTTGCTGATCGTTCCGGCACGTGGAAACAGATAATTTTGACAATCGCTCCGAAGAACTCATTCATTCATATGATGAAATGCTGAGTGGAGTAGTAACTTAACAGTTGGCCGAACTCCCTTTTGGTTTTAACGAATCAGTCCGGCCAGCAAGCTGACGCAGACAACTCAGATAACTAGTAGTAGAACTCTAGAAGTGGCCCAATCATGCAGGCTAGATCATTCAGTCTACTGGAGTTTTCTGATAGTGTAGTACTTACAGTACTACATAGATGTCAGATCAGGTCTCACCAGACGCATGCTTGAAGCATAGGCGTTACAGTAGATAGGTAGGTGGCTGTTGTCTGCATGACACTAGATCCTATCCAGAATCTATGCAAAACCGCTGCTTGACTTGATTGCATTAGTTGGAAACCAAGCTCACCC